CATCCTGGATGAACCCAAAAGATGATCTTCGAGAAATGTTCTGCAAGGTAGAGCGCTGTATAAAATATTTAATGCGAGTCTGTGAGTTGGGAAAGCCTTCAAGATGATTATGGATGCATGTTTCATACTCAAGTGTGTGTTCCTTGTTAGATCTTGCATGGGTTTAAGAACCAGGTTGGAGACGAGAATTGGAGACACTTTTCTGACCAGTTTCCTCTTCCACTCAAAGAAAGACTTGCAGCCTTCTATGGGGTGTAGATGTTACATGATTGAAGAGGTACATTTCCGTGCGATTTTCTAAGCTAGCCAGTCTGTTACAGTTTTCTTTCCCATGAAGTGTATATTCATGCTTGCTAAAAATGTGTGTATTTCCTCTACTCAAATTTAGCAAGCTTTCACAGTTGTTAAAAATTTATTGTATAAAAGGAAATGTGTTGTGAGCACAGTAACATCGTTCAGAGGTTTGTGGCCAGTAATTACTAATTTACATTAGTAATTTGGTTTCATGAACAAACTTGGCTAATAGTTGGATAATGTTATAATAGTAATAGTAGTAGCACTTTTTTGTTTAAATTGGATTCATAAATGAACCATGAGTGATCATTATTGTAATATGTTACTGATATTTACACTGCCGTTCAAAAGTTTGGGATCAGTAAGATTCTTAATCGGTTTTTGGCTGTATTTATTTGATCAAAAATACAGAAAAAACAGTAATATTGTGAAATATTATTGCAATTTCTAATATTGGTTTCCTGTTTTAATATACTTTCAAATATAATTTATTTCTGTGAGGCAGCACTGAATTTTCAGCATCATTACGCCAGTCTTCAGTGTCATATGGTCCTTCAGAAATCATTCTAATATGCTGATTTATTAGCAGTGTTGAAACCGTTGTGCTGCTTAATATTTTTTGGAACCTGTGATACTTTTTTTCTTTGAATAAAAAGTTAAAAAGAACAGCATTTATTCAAAATAGAAATCTTTTTGAACAATATAAGTCTTTACCATCAGTTTTTATCCATTTAACACAGGGCTGTCCAAACTCAGTCCTGGAGGGCCGGTGTCCTGCAGAGTTTAGCTTCAACTTGCCTCAACACACCTGACTGGAAGTTTCTATGCCTAGTAAGAGCTTGATTAGCTGGTTCAGGTGTTTTTAATTAGGTTTGGACCTAAACTCTACAGGACACCGGCCCTCCAGGACCGAGTTTGGACAGCCCTGATTTAACACATCCTTGCTGAATAAAAGTATTTTATTTTTTTTAAAAGAAAGAAAAAAATTACTGACCCCAAACATTTGAATATTAGTGTATATTGTAACACAAAAGTTCTATTTTGAATAAACACTGTTCTTTTTATTTATCAAAGAATCCTGAAAAAAGTATCTCAGGTCCCACATTTTTTTTAGCAGCACAACTGTTTCCAACATTGATTATAAATCTGAATATTAGAATATTTTCTGAAGGATCATGTGACACTGAAGACTGGAGTAATGATGCTGAAAATTCAGCTTTGCTTCACAGGAATAAATTATATTTTAAGGTATACTAAAATAGAAAATTGCCATTTTTAACAAAATTCTATTTTTTTTTTTGATCAAATAGATACAGCCTTGATAAGAAACATTCAAAATCTTACTGATCCCAAACTTTTGAACGGCAGTGTATTTACTAATGATACTGTACATGTAAAACATTCTAATCTGATCTCTTTCTCTCTTGTTCTGCAGCTTATTAACTATGGGAGAGGATGGGAACCTCTGATACCCAGGGCATATATTGCCCTTTACCTGGGGGGAAGGGTGGTCTAGCAGGGGTGGGAGCCATTCGGCCCACTGGACCCCTGTAGACGGGGTGGGAGGGAAGTGTTAGCTGAGGCGCTAGTCGACGACACCTCACCAAGCCAAACCAAAATAGGGAAGAAAGCTTTTTCATCATGTCATAACAATCAGCCATGAGGGCAAAAAACTAAATACATCGTTAGCGTTCATTCACCAGGGCACTTAATGTAACGGGACATCCAGGGGTTAAAAAAAACAGTGACATGAAGATATGTGTAAACGCTCTAGTTTTGCACTCCTGACATAGGAAAGTGCCTGGAGACAAGCTCTGAAAGCTTCTAAAAAAAACAGGTTTTGTTTATTTTCTGGACCATATCATTTAGAGGGGTGGGTGACATAAATCTCAACTTGGACGCAAAGCGTAAGTCCTATGCATGGGGTGATGTAGGGTATAGCTCGACTGCATGAAAGTGTGCAGACCGTGTTTTGTGTGCCAGCTATGCACAGCAGTAGACGGTAAACATTTAAAGACAGTAAATGCTAAAAGCGTACCATATTTTAGGGGCTCCATCTAAAAGGTAACACAGCGTACCACTAGAAATGTAAGTCCTCTCATATCATTGATAGTGAAGGGTTTTCATCTGCTAAGATGAAGGAATAAAAACCTGAATGACTGCATAATTTTATTTTTTACTTTTTTTCTAAATTCATCTTGGTAAATTAAGTTAGCATGCACAAAGCGAGAGGGAAAACTCCATATTAACACAGTGAAGATGTCTGAAACATCTGAACTATTGCTCCGTACGAGGCTTTAATGTTCCTCAGACTCACTTTCTGATTTCCAGCGTGCTTGACATGGATCCAAACGAGTGAACCCTTAAACACACATTTTGTTCGTTTTTGAGACCTCGGCGATTTCTTTTTGCTTCGTTTGCTCAGAGCATGATTTTGAAGATGCTTGTGATATCTTTTTTTGACTGATTGGGTTAATCTGGATGTTTAATTGTTTGATTTTGTGCATGTTGGTGGCCCAATGAGCAATCTGTTTTTCTAGCACCCCTCATACAGACTAGTTTTAATAATGCATTTTTTCCACACATACACAATAGGTGACGTGTTTTCCATCCACGTATTGCTTTTGTGACTTGTTTTATTTCGTTTCGTTTCCTCCTGCATGAATGTCCCATGTTGTGTTGTGTATATTCCTGGACAGTTCAGTGCTCGTGGAGGCAGTATTTGTGTCCCTCATGTGAATAGTAGCAAGCCTTAAAATGCCTGAATGTATCCCAGAGTGTGAGGATTTAGGTATTAAAAACTTTGCGTTTCAAAGTTGCTATCTCAGACAGACAAGACTGATGTTCATACTCATCTGGAAGCCAGTGAAATGGTTCTTTCAAGTGTAAGTTATGGATTCAAACCGAAGCAGCTGAGAGGTCAAACCTTCAAGGCTGTAAGAAGATTTAGAAATCTGAACACCACGGGATACTGTCAGGTGTTTGTGAGTCTGTTGTGAAGGTGTATTTCTGCAAAGTGTTTTTAGTTTCTTCAGTTTGTCTGTCACATTCCAGCTGTTTTACATTTGTAACCAGTAAGAGAGGTCGGAGATTCTTCTGACTGAAAAAAAATGTAAAGAAACAAGATGTAGGCAGATATTATGAATGTTAAGTGTGTCGTCTTACACTTATGAATGCTGCTATGTGTTGTAATTTTCTACTTGAATATTTTATGTTGTCGAGACCTCAGGAGGTATGTTTACTGTTCTTTTCTTTGCCGTTTTTATTTATTTATTTTTTTTATGTATGCCTTTCCCCGCTGTTCAGGCTCCCATGTTTCATAATAATAATAATAGAGCAATTCACTGTAATCCATTCAGCTGCTGGTGAATATCCTTTCTAACAGGCATATTTTTGTCACTCTCTCCTTGTAAAAGAATGTAAAACGTTTTTTTTTTTTTAAATTAGAGGAGATATCCGATAGTAGACACTCAAATAGGATACTTCATGTGGGGATAAAATGGAAGTAACTGGCCCTTATGTATGTGAACATTCATTATTTATGAAATATAAATGCAGTATATACTGTAACGCCTTGAAGTTAAACGTGAGTTTTTTGGGGGTGGGGGTATAAATAAGGCCACGAGACTTGGAGATTGCACAGTAAGGAATCTAATGGTTTTACTTTTTTGTCTTGTTTTCTTTTTGTGAAGTACAAAATGTCAAAAATCTAAATGTTGTGTCCCCACCCCAGACTGCACCAACTGCTGTATAGTTCTATGTGTGGAAATTAAGAAAATGTAATAATGAAGTCAAACTTTGCTCAAAAGCTCCCTTTTCTGGTCCGAGAGCAATTTAATTTATAGTGATTTTTTTCGACTTTTATTTTATAATCTGATTTTGAAGAAAGATACAGAAAGTAATCATTTTTAGGGGCCACCAAATATTTTGGATCATGCAAAGAATATATATTGTACTGTAGAAATTTTGTAATGATATTTGTATGACATTGTTATGGACGTGAGTTTGTTTCACTGCTTGGATCTGTGCATTGGTAAGAATAAACACTTTTCAAAAATCACTGATTACATTGTGTCTAATGAATTTCAGAGGTATTAATAAAGCTCTTTCAACAACTTTGGAAATGCAGACTGATTCCAATACATTTTGTGCAAGTTTTGCCTTTTTTTTTTTCTTTTTAAGACCGAGAAATATGTAGGCTACCTGTTACACAATTAATTTATCTTTTTAAATGATACTTAATTTCCAAGAACAGTAGCTCATTACACTTTGGTCTTTCAATAACATCTCTTATATAATATCAACTGAGTAAGAATAAACACTTTTCAAAAATCACTGATTACATTGTGTCTAATGAATTTCAGAGGTATTAATAAAGCTCTTTCAACAACTTTGGAAATGCAGACTGATTCAAATACATTTTGTGCAAGTTTTGCCTTTTTTTTTCTTTTTCTTTAAGACCGAGAAATATGTAGGCTACCTGTTACACAATTAATTTATCTTCTTAAATGATACTTAATTTCCAAGAACAGTAGCTCATTACACTTTGGTCTTTCAATAACATCTCTTATATAATATCAACTGAGTTTTTTTTTTATCAACTGAGCTATTAAGGACTTAGTTGTACGGTGGGACAAGTATATTAGACGAGCATCATGGGAATTGTGGCAATTCCTGAAACCGCCACTGGCGTCACTGTTTCTTCATAATAATTACCTCCATGAAGTACTGAACAAGTGGAGGGGGTGAAAAGCAAGCGAGGAGGTGGAGTGTTCAGAGAGGGAGGAAAAGCCAGCAGAAGAGCAGGAAAAAAAGAGAAAAACCACCAGACACAACAACATCGGGGGGAGGACGGTGGATTAACTGCCAACTGAAGCAATTCAAATTAAGAGAAACGCCGCTGTGAAGAAGGGAGGACAGCAAGATGATAACGCCCTATTTCCTGGAAAATTTCTGGGTAGGTTGTTTATGCTTTGCTCTTTTTTGGCTATGCAGGTTAAAGACAACTTGGCTCTACTCGTCTGTCATTCTTTAAATTGGTACGATACGCTCGATTTCTGGGGCTATTCTTCATGTTTTGATTCACGCCGGCCGTTGCTGGGATAATACCGGTAAAACACGGTCGAGGCAAGCACGAGAGCCTACTGGCCTGTTGCCTCCCTCACTTTTCTCGGAGAATGCCGTCCAGCTAGACCGGGGATTGGGCCTCATACATCCATCTGACACAGACAGCCAACTTCGTTCCACCTCCGTTCAATCTGATTGGCTGTCGATCAAAGTCTTGGAACGTTAACGATCCTATTCTGCAACAACATTGGATGTTACGGCTGTCAATCACAATGCTATCCCGCTCTAGTTCTTCCGTAATGAAGTTAGACCGAAGGCCAGAATGTCTAATAAAGTTGTTTACGTTATATGATTGTATGATTATTCATATGTGAGCCATGTAATAATTACCCTCTTCTCTTCCATAGTATGGTGATCTTTTTCATTTGAATTACTTTGGTTATGGTTTGTACTGTCATGACTTTACTATAGGCTTTAAGTGCTTAAGCTGTTCACAGTGTGATTTCATATTCATGTTTGTCGTTTTATTCTCAGTTGTACCTCAAAACATACCTCCTTACTAGACATAGTTGCTTCTTAGAGAGACTTGAAAAATTCTGTCATCACTTATTCACCCTCATGTCGTTCCAAACCTGTGTGACTTCATTTTAATACAAGGCAAAAAGTGATGTTAAAGGTATAGTCAGCCAGAAAGGAGCTTTCTGTCATACTTGACTCGTCCTCATGCCATTCCAAACCTGTATGACTTTTCATCTGCTTTGGCACATAAATGTCCATACAATGGAAGTCATTGGACACCAAAATGGTTTGGTTACCAGCATTCTTCAAAATATCTTCTTTTGTGTTCAGCAAAAAGGGAGTAAAATGATAATGGAATTTTCATTTTCAAGTGCATTATCACTTTAAGTAGAATGAAGGCGTATGCTTTCAGGAGTGTTCATGCACAGTCTATCTTTATTATCACTTACATTCCAGACATCAGGATTCAAGTTGTTTTTTAAATAATGACTATTTCCTCATTGTACTACAAAAGTTATTGAGGATTTTTGAAGTCATTAGTGTTAATTCATTTAGTGACAGAACAGATCAAGCCTGAAAGTCTTAAAGCATCCCGGAAGATTCCTCTGTTGTCATGTGCAGTATATGACCATAGTTTAACCATTAAACAGCATCTGACTGGCAGAAATGTTGAGCTGAGCCAGGTGAGAAAGTGTGCAGTTGGAAGCCGTGACTGTCAAAACAGGAGATGGGGGGAGAGAGATGAGGGATTGCGGAGCTGTGGAGTCTTGTTCTCAATCAGGTCTTTGTGTTGAGGGCTCAGTGAAACAGGGACGCCTATGATCAGCTGTGTGCTTGTAATGCAGGGCACAGACAGACATACACGCATATACCCCTCACACAGAGAGCCACACTTCTTCAAGGACGCTGTCAAGCTCAAGAAAGTAATGCAGGGAAGGTCAGACCGTCAAAGTAGTTTTGATATTTATCTGCCATGACATGATCATCTCTTGAAATCAATCTTCTCTGCCCTCCAGTGCCTGACGCCCGCAGGTGTGACAGCTTACCCGAAACCTCCCACAACAAAGGGGTGTTTGAAGGAAACCTCTTAGTCTCGTTTCCTGCAGTCAAACACATCTAACCACAGGTTTCCTCTCTTGCTGTAGCATCATGTGAATATTCTAGAGAGCTTTTGACCTTTGCTGATATTTCACATTCTCCTCTGTTGGTGGATGTTCAGACTTGTTACAGTCAGAAGACACCTGCTTACGGAAATTAATATCTGGTTGAGTCATACTGCAGATGTTCCATTTTAGTTTCTAGGTGTCTATCTTGATGAGAGCTCTTTATGTTTTTAAATCTGTGGTTATGTTAATCATTTGTGTAAAATGTCAAAACTGTTATTGATCATATTCACATGCATGTCATTTTCCGACTACATTTACATTTATTCATTTAGCAGACACTTTTATCCAAAGCCACTTACAAATGAGGAGCGCCTTAAGCAATTTGTCATACAGTCAACAGTATTCATGGTATGCAATTACATGCTTGCTTGCTTGTAACAGATTATCAAAAAAAACAAAAACAACAAAAAAAAACTTGATTTGATTCTATGCATTGTGCTCAAATGGATGCAGTCAATTGTGGAAGAATTGGTGTAAGCAGACTAGTGATTGGATAAATCGTTAGTCGTTTTCACAGAAGACTAGGATTTGATTAAACATTACAAGGTTAAATAAAAAAAAAAAGTTAAATAAAAATAATGTATTTAGAAAACAGACTGGGTGAATTTCCATTTCATGCATTTCAGTTTACAGGGACAGTTCACCCAAAAATAAAAATTCTGTAATTAATTACTCACCCTCATGTCGTTCCAAACCCGTAAGACCTTCGTTCATCTTCGGAACACAAATTAAGATATTTTTGATGAAATCCGAGCGCTTTCTGACCCTGCATAGACGGCAACGGAACTGACACATTCAAGGCCCAGAAACGCAGTAAGGACATCATTAAAATAGTCCATGTGACCTTAGTGTTTCAACTAATTTTATGAAGCTACAAGATTATTTGTTCTGTCTTGCAGGACAGGACATTGAATGGTTAAAAAAGAAATTTCATATACTCCCTTTTTAACAAATATTGTGTCACTGGACATCTTTGTCTTTCAGTGCATTTGAATGCGGTGCATTTCTATTGATCCACAAGGCTGTGTGTCTGTAGGACAGATGTCCCGAGCACGGAGGCAGATCACCCTGCTTAAACGGGGGGAGTTCAGAAGGTCATGTGAGGGACTCAGAGCTGGGGTGAAAGGGATTCAGCTGAACATTGACACTGTTGATGTCTAGATGTTTTGCTCTGCTCATTGTTGACATGTGTTTGCTCTCAGAATGGCAGTGTTTTCAGTAACGGAGGTACTGTAAGTGATTGTAAATGAATTCACTGAAGTTATGTTTGCTTTGTCTGCATTTAGGTTATGAACAGCTATTTACTGATTTGTTTATTTATTGTTTATTTGTTTATAATTGAGTAATTGTCCATGTACAAGGTAATTTTTAACAGGTGCAACTGTGCATTGGATTTATGCTTTGCAAAATTGCTATTATCTGAGACTGATAATTCTTATATTGTTACTTTGCTCCAAAGTATTTGTGAAAGAAGATCTTTATTATGTTCGATAATGTTAGATATGATCATTTTTAATATAAGATAAAAGTCATATTATATAATCTATTATAGTATTAAATACTTAAATAATAACAAATGATTTGAACCTTTAAAAAAACTGTCTCTCTGTTAGGAAGATGATTTTATTTGGCACTGTGAGTGAAGTTGTTTTTTTTCCTAGTCTTCATCTCAAGATGCATGTAATGCATACTAATGTAATCACAATTCAGATCTCTGTGCTCTGTTGAACTGATTCAAACGAGAAGCCAGACTGTGTCAGCTATGCCAAATTTAGCATGCTTTGTAATGTTTATTAAACCTTCATGGGTTAGGTTCAGCAGATGGCTGTGGATTAAACCATGCGTTAAACCAGGCAGTTAACTTTCCCAGACTGTGTGTTGTTATCTCACTTGCAAATACATTTAAAGCTATTTTAAAGCTAGTATTTAGGGGACAGAGTGTATTGTAAGGGTAATGCATGATAGATTGCAGAACTCTGAGATGGTGCCTAAATTTGTGCAAACTATATAAAATATTACGTATTTTTGGTTTGATTGTTTGTTTGTTTTCTGCATTTGCATATGCATATGCATTTTTTAAGTACCACTGTATTTCTAAATATATATATATATCTTTGTTGTCTCTGCAGTATCACACAAACTTTACAATGTGTAATATCAGAGAAAATTCATATAATGCATAAGCAAGAAGGAAAAGTCTTTAACCTCAACATGAACAAGATATACATTTAAGTTTTGCAGTGGCCTGATGGGACTGCCACCAAAGGAATATTTTGGTTGGCATGATGGATTTATATGGAAATACAAAAATAGGGTCCCAGATAGCAGATTCGGAGGATTTGTTATGAATTTCTCAAGGTGAATGTGCTGCTAGACTGAAGTAGAGGAATAAGCAGAAGACCATGCGAGAGTAGATTTATGAAGGTGGATTATTTTTAAAATGCAACAACATTTCCAAGTAGGCATTCTTGATTTGAGCTTCTAGGAAAGGAGAAGTGTGTGTGTACGTGTACCTACTTTACCATATTTTTGGGGTCAAATCTGTACCCAGAAGTGAGCTAAATCGGACAAAACCTATTTTGGAGGCGTCCTCATTTATAAATATTGTGTTTAAGAAAAGAAATGAAAAGAAACAAAACTCTTTTTAAAATTCTGAAAATGTTAAAGTTTTCTGTTAGGGTTAGGTTTAGGGTGTGGGTATAAAAAAAGCTGTATATAAAAACAGAAGTCAGTCATGTCCTCATTTGGATAGCTAAGTAAACTGTGTGTGTGTGGGTTTGCATTCAGGGTCTTTGCATATAGTCTCTGTATTGGGAACCTCACCCAGTTTGTGAGCCCTGCTGCATGAACAAGCACATTCAACTTAAACGCACACATTTGTACCTTCATGTCTTATCTTGTGTGTTTTGGCTTTAAATATGAATTCTGTTTGGTTTGACCTGAGCCAAATTGTGGTTTAAACCCCCTCACAGAAACACAAGCATACAGGAAGGCATAACACACAACATCAGAGTCAGTGAACATTTTCCTGCGCTCAAATTAGCAACTTCAAACTGCATGTTTTGTTCCTCAACTGCTGTTTGTCTGGTTTATCGTACTTCTCTGAACTTCTCTTTTGCTAACGTCATGGATTTTAAAACAGGTCACAGATATTTGACAGTTTTGGCGATGTCATTATGGGCTATTTGTTTTTCAGAGAGTAAATGTGATCATTGTTTGTACTAGAATATGACATTTTCTGTGACTTTGAAGCAGTTTATGATTGGTTGTCTATTGCTAAACATCTCCCTGTAGCATCCTGGCACGTCATTGTTTTTTATGCTGTTTACATTTCACATTACAAGTGTGAAACGTTGCTTAACCTAATGGTGAAACTAGACTTTACTCATGATATAAAATGATTTAAGTGTAAAAGATTGAAAAGGCTGTAAGGGAACAAAATAAAGTGAAATTAAAATGCAGTTGAGAGTTTATTACTGCATTGTGTTTAAAGTTTAGGCTCAAAAAAAGTAATGTGGGCTACGTGAACCAATCACAGAACAAACTGGTATTTTGGTGTGCTAGTATTCAATGAGCAGACGGCCAAAGCATTTTTCTGAGTTTGTTGTTGTTTTCCTATTGTATTTTTTAATATCACTGCGTTCCTCAGTCACTTCTGTAGCGCTTGGCTTTCCTGTGGCTGTTCTTTCAACACACATTCACACACAGTCTTACAATCTCACACAGATCTCAGTTGTCTTTTGAGCTACAGGAAACACACTGCGTGATATTTGCTGTGTCCACAAAAGCTGATGTGGAAGTTACACAGTATAAACATGAGAGCAGAGCTTCATCCTTCCTTATATTGGTTTATGTTCATGTATTTTTGCGTAGGTAGTGATCATATCAATTTAACATGCTTTTCTCTGAAATACCTTTTACAAGTTTTACTACCTTTTACAAGTTTCGATTGAGTAAAATTCGATTTTTTTTAAACATGAATATTTTTGTATACATTCTACAATGATTATGGATAGATGTTTTTTTTTCTTCTTCTTCTTGTGCTTCTCTTTGAATCACTGGTTGAACTCTTGATGTGTGCCAGATTTCTATATTTTCACAGTTGGCTTTTGAGAAATGCTAATAAAATAGCTTGCAATTGAGCTTGTTTTGGTTTGGTTCATTAATCTGATGTATTAACTGTAAATTATTTGCTTGGGTAAAAAGCCTTGGAGAGCATATGATTAATTATATCTGTTGTACCATGCTGGCATGGATAACAGCTGTATTTATAGTCAGTAAGAGCAGATGTGCTGAGCAAACACTGCCTTATTATTATTCATATTAATATGTAATTACCGACATGCACTTTAAACTCCAATCACGTTTTGCCACCCCAAAAAATGTCATAGAAGGACCAAGCATTTGTAAATATTTAAAACTATTTGAATCCATTAGTCGTCAGCCAAAATTTGATGACTGTAAAAAAAAAAAAACCTGTGGAGGATGCGGTAACACCCTTGGCACACCATAGTACATGTGTGTGTGTGTTTGTATTGCATTTATGTAAGCAGTCTCTCTTCTAATGCATGTACATAAAGCAGTCTATATGCATGGCTGGCATTAAAATATGTGTGTTTCTGTCATTCTAAAATTAGAGGAGATGTCAGGCTTCTTTTCAGATCTGAATTATGCATTAGTTTAGTGCTTGCATTTTTAAAATGCTGATATCGGACACTTGTAGCATTGCAACCATGGTTACTATGAAACCCTTTACACAATTCAGATCAAGCTTACAGCACTGACTTACGGGCAAAGATACGAAAGTATGTCGCGGATGAACATGGTGGACCAGTCTGCTTTAAGGAGTCAGCTAGATGCCATTCAGGCCATGACGGCAATGATTGTTGAGAAACCAAAAGTGGTAAACAAATGTTTGCACTAGTGATGACGTGCAGTTCAATCCTTGACATGCAATTCTTAACTTCTTGCTGTTTCCCTTTTTTAGGGAAAACATGTAGTGATGTGGCTCAAATGTAGTTTTTAATTCATTTGTGTGCTTTCTTTGGCAGGGCGATAAAAACAATGGATTTGATGTACTGTACCACAACATGAAACATGGCCAGATATCCAGCAAGGAGCTATCAGACTTCATCAGAGAAAGGTAAAACTGTGTGTGTGGGTGTGTGTGCGTATTTGTGACATATGAGGACACAAATTTGTATAATGACATGGGTATGACATAGGTATTACAAGGAGAAGGTGACTTATGAGGACATTACACCATGTCCCCACTTTTCAAAACGCTTATAAATCATACAAAGTGAGTTTTTTTGAGAAAGTAAAATTGCACAAAGTTTCCTGTAAGGGGTAGGTTTAGGTGTAGGGTTGGTGTAGGGCAATAGCACATACAGTTTGTACAGTATAAAAACCATTATGCCTATGGAATGTCCCCACAATTCACAAAAACAAACATGTTTGTGTCTGTGTGTCTTTCTGTCTGTCTGTCTGTGTGTGTGTGTGCGTGTGTGTGTGCGTGTGCGTGTCTGTGTGTGTTTAGTTGTTGTTCTTGTTGTTTTTAAGGGGATGACGGGAGTTACCTCAGAGTGTTACACTGTATTCATGACAGCCTGTCATAACGCAGACAGTCATCCTTCCTAAAAATTGTATGTTAGCAGTGTTGTTTGTGTTAACTGAAACTTAAATCATTATTATTTATTGAAATAAAGCTATAGCTAAAATATAAATATTACTTGAAAAACTTAAAAAATAATTAAACAATTTGGCTAACCGAAATAAAATAAGTTTAAGCTGAAGTACTACTAAAACTGTTACTAAAAACCTTATAAAAATTACAAACCGCACAACAAAATTGCTAAAATGAAAAAAACTTTAAAAGCTGAAAATATAAAATAATTCAGTGTTAATAAAATAAAAGCGTATATAAGTGAAGTATTGTGAAATCTGTTGGCCACTAGTTCTGAATCTTTACAAGAAAATCTTTTTGTAGACTAAACCGCAGAAACCACATCAAACCTGATCTAATCTCATCACCTACAAAATGTCAGTAACACTTTTTGAGATCTTCTTGTAATCCAAAAACATGCACAGTTCTGTCAGATCATTCACCTGTGCAAGCGTTGAAGCTCTGCTAGAAATCTTGCTTGTCTCACACCATCAAGACATCTGTCAAGGGAGTACAGCTATTCCAGAGGAAACTATTTTAAAACTTTTCTCTTAAAACCTTCCAAATGTTTTCAGGAATGTTGCAATTCCTCCATAAGCCTCACCATCCGTCACACATTTCACCTGCTTTAACGGTCAATCAATGCTGTGTTAAACGAATGGAAAGAATTCACTCTGAAAGATTTAAAATGTGCAGATGTTTTAAACCATCTCATGAGCTCTGTGACTGACAGAGGAATTTTGCATAATACCAAGCCATTGGAAATGCTATTTGTGTCATTTTAACAAGTTCTTAGTCTTGATTTATGTTCTTTTGGCAATTGTATTGTGAAATCTTTTTCAGAGGATGATGAGTGGTTTGGCCACAAATGGAGCGTGTCTGTCTCCCCCTTCTGGACACAGTGGGACATTGTCTCTATCAGGGTGAAACGGCGCTCAGGCTAATTTACTATTATAGATCTTTCTCTTTTGACAGAAAAAGAAGACCATAGCAATAGATTTTCAAATGACTCTGTAGGGATACACTACCAATCAAATTTTTGGACACCCTTTTTGTTTTTACCCTTTTTCACATTTTAGAATAATAATTAAATCAGACGAACTATGAAATGACACAAGTGACAATTTGGGGATTACATAGTGACCAAAACACCACGGGTATCTCAAACTTTTAACTCGGCTAATTTACTATTATAGATCTTTCTCTTTTGACAGAAAAAGAAGACCATAGCAATAGATTTTCAAATGACTCTGGGCAAGTGACTGTAGGGATACACTACCAATCAAATTTTTGGACACCCTTTTTGTTTTTACCCTTTTTCACATTTTAGAATAATAATTAAATCAAACGAACTATGAAATGACACAAGTGACAATTTGGGGATTACATAGTGACCAAAACACCACGGGTATCTCAAACTTTTAACTCGACTTACTCAGACTTTTTAAACGGTACTAAATGGGTTCACATGTTTGCTGAGCTCGCACTGCTTTTCCTTCTGCTTGTTGTAAAAATGTAAAAATCTTTTTAGTTTTGTCAAATTCATGTGAAGGCACAATTACTAAACTAATTTCAAACAAAGGTCTTTGTTTGCCTTATATGTAGATGTATCAGTGTCATTTGCGCAACATGCATGGAGTAACACCACTTTTCTTTTAAATCATTCTTTTAAATACATTTTCCCCCCATTTTTTTTTTAAATGGTTGTTAATGTTATTTGCAAGTATGTGTAAATGTTTGTGAAAGTAAAATCAAAATGTTGAATAAAGGATTTTTTATTCTAAATAATAATCAGCATTAGATGGCCTGTCATTATCTGGGTTTGATTAATTATTCACATATGGTTTTCTCACCTTTTGTCACAGAGCCACCATAGAGGAGGCGTATTCAAGATCAATGACCAAACTGGCCAAGACCGCCAGCAACTGCTCTCAGCTAGGGTAAGACTGTATGTCGGGCCCTATGAAATCGGTTTTATTTTTTCCCAAATTATGTTTTTTCCATTTAAATTTTTCTATACTCTGTTTTAATGGTTAAATGAAATTGTATTAATCAAAAAACAGGTCTGATTAATTGAAATCATGAAACATACACAATTTAACTGCAATTTATTAAAAGTTTAACAAAAAAATATTTTTAAAGGCCCTATGGCCCTATTTAAGGCCTTTCTCTAATTCAGTTTTATTATTACCAAATTCTGTGTTTTCCATTAAATTTTCTGCATTCCATTTTAATGTTTTCATTCAATTGTAATATTTAAAAGCATCTCTAATTAATTGATTTTATTTAAAAAAATTGTTTTAATTTTTTTATTTTATTTTCTTCTAAATAAATTCTGGTAAATAATTAATTTTGTAATAGTTTTATTAGTAGTAGAAGTATTGTCATTACATTTAAGTAATATATTTCTGACACAGATTCTTCAAGTTAAACCGAACTTTTATTTTGACGGGTTGCTGTGAAGACATTTGTGTTTCTAAGCGTATATGATATAACTATAATTATAAATGGTAAAATGCTCATGAAATGACTCTCAAAGCAGTTCTAGCGATTATATTCATGCGTCTGTGCCATTCATTCACAAAGAGACACGCATAACATGCAGGATTCATATTTAAATAGTATTTTGCAGCTAAATATTCACAGACACTAGTATATATATCGCGTTTTGATTTAAGTGTACTGACCTACTTTTGTTTTATTCATCCGTGTGCATGTGCACGTGTGAGTCTAAGGGTTCACAAGCCCAGTGGGTTCATTATGAACTTCATTTCAATAATGTATTTATAATGAGCTGGAAAACCCTCATCATTTCAACTTCTCTCAGGCTTTATCCATGAAAGCCCAAGCTCATTACATGCTAGGAAACAAAATGAATACCCACAGCTGTTCACTTACCTGCCTGGAACATTTTTGAATCTTTATTCTATGTAAACTTTATTCTGGCAAGCTTACTGTACTTTCCCTGCTATTGTGAGACATATTGCCAGTCAGGCGAAACTTCATAAGCTACTTCAAAAAGATCTGCAGGAAGAAAGCAATTAACTCATTGTTATTGCTATTATAGTCCTGAAATAGCCAAGGTTTGTACAATAACTATTTGCAAAATATGCTAGATGCAGTTGTGTAAGATGAAAGCTGGTATTTTACTGGCCTGCGGTGCTTTATTCCGCAGAACACGAATTTCGCACCCCCCTCACATATCATATTGTCAGTACAGACATTATAGTGTCATTAAACCTTGCACAGAGCCATTCCATTAAAAACAGCAGGACCAGAGGATAAATCTGATATCGAGAGAATAAACACACCTTGGTGTTAAATCACAAATCATGTTTAACACATTTTCCGTTTTATTTGTACAATGTGTGTGGAGTATTATGCCTAGAGAAGAAAATGAAACGGCCGTTTGTTCCACAGGACGTTTGCACCGGTGTGGGATGTGTTTAAACAGTCCACCGAAAAACTGGCGGCATGTCACATGGAGCTGGTCCGCAAACTTCAAGAGCTCATCAAGGAAGTCCAGAAATATGTTGAGGAACAAGCCAAAAATCATAAGAAGGTATGGGAGCTGCCGTCATCTTTGGTGTTTGATTTATATCCATGTAAGTTTGCTCATAACATGCCGCATAGCGAAGTATGAACCCAATTTCTCAGCTAAATGAGTCTGCGGTACACATGTCGTTCCTTTAAAAAGGTCAGAGGTCTGGTATGTAATCACTGTAAGATAAAACCCATTTCCATCTTTCAAAAACAGAGTGAGGAGTATCATATGAAATGGAGATATAATTGCATATTAATAATAATGGTCTACTGTACTACAGAATGTCCCACTATTAACTGTTCATGGATCTGGTCCTCATCCTCCCAATAAAATGTCTAAAAATGAATCTTGTAGTAAGAATAGTAATAGTACTAATTTGACATTTGTTATTTTGTCAATTTGTTGTCAAAAGAAGGTTATCTTGAGTTTTATGTTTTGTTTTTTGAGAAAACGAAACAAAAATGATTAATGGTGGTAGTAGTAATATTATTATTATTTATTAATTAATTATTATTGCTTATTTAATTATTCAACCATATGAATGGAGAGAAATATATATTTCTTTAAGGTCATTTTGATTTAAATTAATAATCAATAGGATTTATATTAGTAATTAAATAATTAATTCTAATAAGATCCCAGGCTTGCTTGTTTTTCAGTTAGTTTTTCTGCACAGCTACAGAAGAAGGGATGAAAAAGAAAAAAAGTCAAGTCTCTTGAGTGAACATGTTTTTGTGCATGTGCAGAGAAACAGTGTTTGATATCTTGCAGTTACAGCAGAAGCTCATTTTAAGCGCATCAAAGAACGTCAGCCAGGTGCTGTCATTAAACAGAAAACAGATCTGAATGTGCTTCTCTGTGTGTCAGGTGGTGAGGGGTCTTGGGGTGACAAGACATGCCAGCTGGGTTTATCTTCTCAGTAGTTTTTCTTCTCACATTTTTTTGTTTTGCTCCGTAAACTTATGCATATTTGCACATATTAAATATGTGTACAATTTGCACAAACAGAAACCTAATGGCTCTTTTCCAGTCATGGCCTGATTTCTTCAGTGTGTTTCATACTTCATATTTCATTCAGCATCTGTTGGTACTTTGTTAAATCAATTTTGAAATATCTGCAAATGTAATTTGACATTTTAAGCTGTCTTCTGATCCGTTTCAGTTTATTTAAATGATGTAGACTTTCTCAAATATCCAAGTTTATCATCATTGTGAAATTGAATGGTACATTTTGTTTACATTTCATGGGATCATTAAGATTTTTAATCAAAAATACAATAAAAACACTAATACTGTGAAATATTATTTCAATTTAAAATAACTCTTTAATATATTTAAAAATATCATTTATTCCTGTGATTCAAAGCTGAATTTTCAGCATCATTATTCCAGTCTTCTGCAAGGACAAATTAAATTGATAAAAAGTGACAATAAAGACATAGTTACAAAAGATTTCACATAAATGATGCTATTTTGAGCTTTCTAAGAATCCTGAAAAATAAAATGTATCATGGTTTTCACAAAAATATGACAGAAAAAAATGTAAATATTGATAATAATAAGAACCATTATTAATGATTAAGCACTAATAATTATTGATCATAACAGAGCAGCAAATCAGCATATTAGAATAATTTCTGAAGGAACATGTGTCACTGAGGACTGGAGTAATGATGCTGAAAATTCTGCTTTGATCAAAGCAATTAAATTACATTTGAAAATATATTTATGTAGAAAACGGCTATTTTAAATTGAAATAATATTTCTCAATATTACTATTACTGCAGCTTTGGTGAGCAGAAGAGACTGGTTTCAAAAACATTTGACTGGTTATGGGTCGTATATATGGGCATTACATTTTTTTTTTAATGTATAAAATGAAGAAAATTAAGCCTGCTTTAGCTTAGTGACAGTAATTTAATGACACTTTTCACCTGGCAGCATAAATTAAAGGCTGTACTAATAATACAACCATGATTTTTAAATATATTTGAGATAGACCAGAATGTACAACAGTTACCGGTTGAATGAGTGGCAGCCTCAACCTTGAAGTTAGTTCATAGAGTGTTATATAAATTCTATAAATTTCTCTTTCTGGTTTTTCTGGTTTGTAGACAAAAGAGGAGGTGGCGTCCACGCTGGAGGCTGTGCAGAACATCCAGAGTGTGTCACAGGCCTTACAGAAGAGCAAAGAGAACTATATCAACAAGACACTAGAGCAAGAACGCATGCGCAAAGAGGGGGCCACACAGAGAGACCTGGACAAGGTACACACACAGACTTATACATTCATGAATGGTAGCCCAGAAGTTTTGCATCCGAGTACTACTGAATAATACTTGAAAGTTTGCAGGATTATTCCATGTAGGAATCTCCCTTCATCCACTGAGTTAAGCTGTGCTAGATGTTTGAGGCACGTCAGCAGATACAAAGGAAATTTCAAAACACATTCTCTAAGGTGTCTAAATATGAAGAGTTCAAATGCAAAAGCCTCTAAAGTACGTCTGATGTTTTTCTTTAGAATTAGCATTTCTTTCTGTGTATAGGTTTCTATGTAGGTACTGGTACTTCTGAATGGGTTGAGGCTGGGATTTAGCGCATTTGAAATGAAAGGACTTGATGAACATACTATGTGTGGAGAGCATTCACTCAGCATCGTTATCTCATTTTTGACCAAGATGGCTTTTAGAGGCTTTTGCATTGGAACTCTTCATATGTAAATTTCTCTTTTTCTGTTTTGTGTTGTTTGTTTGCAGGCTGGACTGAAGGTCAAGAAAGCCACAGAGACCTACAAGTCATATGTGGAGAAATATGCCAATGCAAAGACAGAATTTGAGCAAAGAATGACAGAAACCGCACAGGTACGACTGTGTGAAGTGTGCATGAGTGTGTTTGTTGAGGTGGCTAATTGTCTCTGCAGGGTGTGTGTGTGTGTGTGTGTGTGTGTGTGTGTGTGTATGTGTGATGTGTATTTGTATGTTGTTGAGTTATTAGAGCTTTTATCATATCAATTAGAGCTTGATATGGATTAACAATATTAATATCAGACACACTAAATTAATATGACACATTAAATATATTAATTATTTATATATAAAATATATACACAACCCATGGGCTGGATACACTCTTTTAAATTGGTAACATTTGTATTTTTATTCGTGCTTCATGATTTTTTTTTTTATTTTTCCATTTTTTTTCCATTTCTTTTTTTTTCATCTCTGCATTATTTTGTGGTACATTATCTTTGTGTTTTATCTTATCACACTGAAGACTGTAAGCTCACAACTTAATATATAATTTCTAAATATAGTGTATTTTGCCTTCGGGGTTTTAAATTCAGTAGCTTTGTGAAGGAAACACTCTTACCCATCCCGCACACTTATTTTTCAGTCCCAAATCAGAGCCACGGAGTCCTCAAACATACAACAGCTTAAGCTTTTCATTGATGTTTCTTTACATGATCCACACACACATGCACAAACACGTTTTTTCCCCTGTGGTCACACATGCTCTGACTTATACTGTCATTATCTTGTTTCCGCTCATTTCCTCATCTTTTTCTCCTCTTCCACTTAAATCTTCTAAAACCCTACTGTCAGTCTGAGAGGAGCATAAACAGCAAATCAGGCATGCAGCCATCCTTGACACACACACGTCCCACATACACACATGCATATTTATTTTCACTGTGTTTGTGCATGTTACGTGCTTCTTAGCTAGTCAGACCACCCAAATCGGCTAATCGTAGAGTTGTGCCAACAATATAAGAATGGGTCTTATGTAGAGACACACAGACACAGGATTGTTGTGGAAAAAGATTCTGTCTGATTAAGTATCATTACCAACATCTGCTTTCAGCTTCACTTTTTGAGACTGACTAAAACTAGTATTATCCATTTTTAAACTGCTTTTGCACCATTTCAGAAAGATAAGTCAATTAAAGGTTGTGTGTTTGTGTCTACAGAAATTCCAGGGCATTGAAGAGGAACATGTACTGCGTATGCAGGAGATTATACATTCATACTGTCAGTCTGTTGAAGAGACACACATACAGATAGGAGAGGTAAGCAGAGAAATACACACACACAGTCCTTATCCAGTAATCTCAAAACAACTGAAATAGTGATGAAATTCAATTCTGAAAAGGTCTGGCAACACTGAATTAAGTCTATGAGATCTGGCTGTTGTATCATCGTTAAGCTGTAGAGGGCGCCAGAGACCCTTAAATGTGCATAAGTCAAATAAGCAGAAATGAACTTCATAACAGGAGGCTGTCTAATTAGTCCTTCCTTATCAATCCGCAAACCAATTACCGCTAATTCAGAGTGATTTATAACATATGCAAACCCTTTTATTCACTGAAATACCTTTCCGTGAAGGCAACTGAATGTGCATTTCTACACACCCACAACAAAACCGTCTCTGTTTGGCATTTTACTGGTTATTGACCACAGAACTGTTGCATGCTCTGGTTTGGGCTTCCTCCTAACCACACACACCCTTGTGTTCAGCTTTGGAGAAATAAGATTTGAGTTTTTCTGTGGTTATTATGTTTATACTGTTTCTGTTGCATGCTTAAGAGTTGAATGTACTTTCAAGTGCAGCATTTGCTCATGCAACAGTTAGTGTCACTGTTCGTCTATACTTGACATTAGTTTTGAGATCTTGATGTAACAACGGGATCTAGAAGTGGAATGGCAGAGCAAGAAAAATGGAATAATGGCATGCATCTTTGAAACAAGAGATTAGGCCAAATTCAAATTGTCTTTCAAGAAAGACAAGCTATGGGACAGTTAAGTGATGGTATATGCATCTGTGTGGTTAATGGGCAGTGATTTCAAGATCATAAAAAAAAGCGTTTAGTTGCCAAATTCCCAGTAAAGTACTACACAACCCTTGGACCCACTACCCTCTCCCATGAAGCACCTTCACTACACTCTTAGGTTACTTGCATATTTGTATACTGAATATCTGAATATTTTGCAATAAATTAAGTTATTTTGTTAAAACATTATAAGATTTTAAAGATTTGTTTTATACATGGAATTGTTGTGTGTGTGTGTGTGTGTGTGTATGTATGTATGTATGTATGTATGTAT